GATTAAAGTCATAAAAATAGAATATCTTAAAGTCAATTCTTTTTTAGAATAATATGAACTAATGTATGCTACTATTGATGGAGGATATGCTGCCTGAAACGTTCCTAGATTAATAAATTAATCAAAAATGCAATGAATTAATATGAATTTTTGTAATTAGTAATGTGACGTTACTCCGTTCGAGAATTTAGAAGTAAGTGTAACTTAAATCGAACAATAACGATCCTTTTTTTCTCCAACACAAAAATTTAGATATATATCTTTCTAGATTGTATTAACACAAATATTATTGTTTAGACAAGTATTAGGATATCAACATTGTTGGATTTGCATCATGATTATGGTAGTATTGCCAAGGGAAAATGAAACTTCGGATTTTCAATTTATTTACCGAATGGTAAAGTATATGATCCAGATTTTTTTTTGAAATGAATTCTAATAAATAATGAATAGTAGCTTTGAAAGCCTAAGATCTCATTTTCTCTTGGTAGCACCATATGCAAGGAATGAAATGTTGTTAAAAAAGTGTGTAGCGCTACCCTGATCGATCGATCAACAAAACACAGGGTGTAACGTGAATCGATGAAAATTTGAGGTAGGAATTTTCATGATCACATGCTACCTTTAATCTTATTCTAATTCAGAAATCTAAAAGCGTTGCAGTTTATTTTTGATTTAATGCTACACTAATCTTATGATTAATTAGGGTGTATGCAAACAACATTAATATGATACTAACCTAGAAGAAATCTAACAAAGCCTAGCTGAATCGTAGTTGTACATGCAGCTTGAGTCATAGACGTTATTGACCAACATATCATTAATATTGGCAACCAAACATGAAGCCCTAAAATATTTGTCACCAAGTTTGAAGGGATTTCGAATATAATAAACCCGAAAAAATGTGCTGATACGGCTAGAATATAATTATAAGGAGTAGTATTAAAGTAAATGTAATTGTATCCTGCTACGGCAGCATTTCCTACGTTATCAAGATCGATGATGCCCAAGACGTATGTAATGGCCAATATTGCTATTAAAAAATTTATTTCAAAAATTTTTTTGTAAGAAAATACAAGTCGATATACAATATACGCATTAAAATGTACTGGACAATGAAATTAATTATATAAAGTCGTTGAAATATATTTGAAACATACGTAGCATGTAAAGATCGCATTTTCTAACAATTCTTTTTTCTAAAATCTTATAATCTGTATTTTCTTGTTCAAATGAATCATTTTCGCGTTTTTCTTCAGTTGACATTTTTTTTATATATATAATTTAATTGTTAGATAAGTAAGAAAGTTTTTTATTTTCTTTAAAATTATTGTATGTAATTATTGTTCATATCATTCAAAGAAAGAAAAAAAACTTTCTACAATTTTTTTTTCGCGTTCATTGAGTATTTATTAAAAATTGATTTAGTTTTAATTCACTCACGCATAACAGTAAATCGAAATAAACAATTGAATACAAACAGGCAGGATGATCAGTTACAACGGTACTCCATTATGATATACAGTACGCACAGGTCTTGAATAACCTTAATTTTAAGGAGTATTTATCTAAATTAGGTAATTTATATTACAAGCTGAAATTTAATTTACTTTTTTGTTTAACATAAATATTATTCTAGAATAACATAATTATATGAGTTATGTTAAGTAATCTGATGACGTAATTAAATTATGGCTTATATAATGTTAATAAAAATCTCACAAGATAATCCAAATCCCAAACTTTAACAATTCTAGATTTTGATTATATAAAAGTACTATATTTCAATTGGTACCTTTCTTCACATAATTGCTGTATATATTTCCCCAGAATTTAACTTGCAGAAAATAATGAAAATTAATGCAAACAACCTGTACAAATTTAAGAATGAATGTTAGGTATACGTATGTATGTGTGCACGTACTTATGCACATAAAGATTGGATGCGTTTGTACGTATGTATGCATGCACACAGGTACGTGCTAATGTGCAGATTTATTTATGTCCACTGTTACAGGGTTTAATTCCTTAGACTTATAATCTCGCTTATAAACCATTGTGTATGCTTATTATATGGTATTACGGATCTTATATAAATTCGACAGTGTAACATCTACTGGATAACTTTACAGTTGTATTTTTAAGAATTTAACGTTTCACAAATAAAAGATCGTTTCTACGTATCTTCAAAAGTATTCAAAGCCTACTTTGTAGGTAAAAATTTCTACAGTATGAATATTATAAGTAATAA